TGAATTCTAAGACGACTTTTCCTTTACGAAAATTTTATCCGACGCTTTTTTATTAAGGGATAAAGTTATTGAATCACAGATCGCATATAGAAAGTAAGCAGGGGCGATGCCGGGCGCACTCACCCAGTCTGATGCCAGCGATCACAAAGGATAATCAGCTGTCTAAGAACAAAAAGTTCTGTCTCATATAATAATCGCTCACACACACACGCACGCACGCACGCACGCACACACGCAATCTCTCTCTCTCTTTCTCTCTCTCTCTCTCTCTCTCTGTGTGTGTGTTACTTACCTTGCAGAGATTTGCTGTCTTGGTACCATCGTTTCTTAACGGATAAATTTCGTCCGAATTGAAATTTTGCTTCTACTTTGAATCATAGTTTTAGGACGTAGACTCTAGATTTATAATAGGCTCTAATCTAATGAATTGAGTCTGTGTAAATGGCAATTATTGGAAAATTTTTTATTTTTAGGTTTAAAAGAAGTTTTCTGAATAGAAGCTGTAGATTAAGTAATGTTAAAAAAGGTCCTATTTGATTATTCAAGTATCAAAAGATTTATAAGATTTGATTTATAAGATTTTTTAATTGAAGTTGGAAGAGTTCAAAGTAGGATTAAAATTTCGACTCGCGTCACGACCGTGAGATAAATTTACGTTTCAAGTAATGAAACAGGCGCCTTCCCATCCCATCCCCCGCGACCAATTCGTGTCGATCGGAAATACGAGGGACTGATCGATCCACAAATCAATAATCTCTCGAGCATCGTAGAAGCAAAGGATCAAGAAATGGCAGCATATAGTAACGAAGAATATTATGATATGGCACTCGATGAGTATCATGGGCAACATTACGTTGCTGCTAGGAGATAGTTGTCGAGTATCCGAACAGAGCAAGACATCCATATGCCAGTGTTATATGGTATTCAAAGCAGTGGAAAGATTGTACGAAACCGAAAGCGTCCTGCCAAAGAAAAAAGACATTGATAGGCAGCGTTACGCAAGAAATAGAAAGTTGTTCGTGTCGTTGAGTAAGAATCGGAAACCAGTATTCGAGATATTGCTCGACAGCATGGATTATTTGACCATACAATGAATTTTAAAAGAAGAAAAATTATACGCCTACCATTATAGTAGCATGCAACACCTACGAGAAGAAAACTATTCTCGGAAGAAAATGTTTTGCGAGGATTTTCTCAGAAGAGCTGACAAAGATCCAGAATTTTTTTTTATGTAATATTTAGCAATGAATCGCTGTTTACATGAGAAGGAGTTCTGAACTCGCATAATATGCATATATAGGATGACGAGAATCCGTGAATGATGCGGTTCAGAAATTCGTTGGAAATTGAATGTCTGAGCTGAGATTATGGGAACAAAAATATTGGGCCTAGTAATCCAGAAAGGCTAAATGGCGCATATGTGCACTTTCTGACAGAAAATCTGTCAGATTAAAATAATATTTCGAAATAAAATAATATTTCAACAAGACGGCGTTGGTCCTCATAACACCAGAATTGTTACGGACTTTTTAAACCAGCAATTTCCTGCACGTTGCTTAGGCCAGTACACTGACCAGCAAGATTTTGACCCATTGAATTTTTTCTTGTGGGAATACTGCAAGGAAATAATTTATAGACACCTTCCCGAGAACGTGGAAGAATTAAATAACAGTTACAAGCTACACGATTATATTGGTTTATCGATAACGACGTTGTCAAAGTTATAGAAAGAATACAGACAAATTTATTGAAACGGATAAAAGTTTGCGTCACAATGGACGGTGGACACTTCGAGCATTTACTATAAAAAAGAAGATCAAAATATCCAAAAATTGTTCATTTCATAGCAATTAATAATTAATCTGCTCTTTTCAAGGCAACCAAATATTTCATTTCGAGGAATATTCTTTTAGTTTTCAAATAACTAAATTTAAAAAAATAAAATTTAATTTTTAAATTAATATTAAATTAATATTAAATTAATATTAAATTTAATATTTCAAAGTTGAATAATTCTAGATATTCAATACTAGTAAACATTGCCAAAAAAAATAATTATGATAATTAACACGATTGACAATCTGAATAATGCCTGTTTTTGTAGAATGCTGTAATCAATGTAGTCTCTCTAGTCACTGACTTACCAACAATTACAAGCGACCGATAAATCAGATTTCTATTATGTTACTCTTAATTCTGTCCGTAAAAGCTAACTTACTTGATTGTATCGTTGAGATCAAGTTTCGCGTCGAATCATGTCAGGTTGTGTGTACTTTGTGTATAACGCGTTTCTTATTCCTGATTTCGAGTTAAATAATTAATCGGTATTAATTAAGAATAATCGAAATAGAATAGTTCGTAAATCGTTCTTCGTAAATCATTCATGTAGTGTCGACTCGGATATCGATTAAGTGCGTGAGTAAATCAATGATGAAAGTATTAAAGTTCTTCAGATACAATTTTTAAAAGAAAAACAAACTCCTGTTTCATTACTTGAAACGTAAATTTATCACACGTGAAGAGTCATCGTATTGCTTTTTCACAGTCGTGACGCGACTCAAAAAATTTTAATCCTACTTTGAAACTCTTCCAACTTCAATTAAAACTTTATAAATCTTTTGATATTTTAACAATCAAATAGGACTTTTTTTAACATTACTTAATCTACAACTTCTATTTAGAAAACTTCTTTTAAACCTAAAAATAAAACATTTTCCAATAACTGCCATTTACAGATTCAACGTAAGAACTCAATTCATTACATTAAAACCTATTATAAATCTAGAATCTACATACATCCGAAAACCATGATTCAAAATAGAAGCAAAATTTCAACTCAGGCGAAATTTATTCATCAAGTAACGATAGTATGAAGATAGCGATCTCTGCAAGATAAGTGACAGAGAAAGAGAGAGAGAGAGAGAGAGAGAGAGAGAGAGAGAGAGAGAGAGAGAGAGAGATTGTGTATGTGCGTACGTGCGTGCGTGATGTGAGGGAATTAGGGAGGAGGAAAATGCATTACAGACGCTGGGTTCGAGAGAGGGGAAAGCGTGTCATGCCCCCAATTGGTGGGTCCATGTTGGAGGACAAGCGGGGTTTATTTCTCTTTATTCTCTTTTTAACCTATTGTTCTCTCTCTACTATCTATTGTAGGATGTTTTAGCTCTTCCACTTGTTGCAATTCTATACTTATTATTTGCTCTCTCTTCCACCCGTTACGCTCTCTTTTCTTTTCTTCTTTTACACGATTTTATTAAATAGATATTTGTTTTTTACGATCTTTTAACAATATGACTCGGCAATAATTTTAATTTAGCAACAGATAATATGTTTAGTAATACAAATTGTCAAATGTTCCTAATTATCGAATCATTATTAAAACTGTTGAATAACTATCGAACACTTATTAAACTATATACTACTGAACAACTATCATTATTGATAGATTCTTACTTATAGGGATAGAAGAAAAAAATTAAAATACATTTAAAAAATCTCATACTTTATTTTTTAAACTTGATATATTTTTTTCTGGCATTACAATCCCCCCCCTCAATTTTATAATTTAAATACATTCTGTAACGCACAATTTTTAACATGTTTTCCATATCGTACAGAATTAATAATATCAAAATTTCGTAAAGAATCTATGTAACGTTCAGCACGAATAAACGATCCGCGCTGGGCGTCACACGTTGCTATGACAGCGGGCCTCAGGCCTCATGTCACGGAAGCATAGAAAAGTACTCCTAACGCGATCTGTGTATCGCTTCACGAACTTGCGAGCGAAAGCGACGAGTCACGCGCTCACAGTGTAACAGCGAAATTAAATTGAAAATGTACTGCGCCTGTGCGACCAATTTAATTGGAATCCTTAATTAATGCAAAACTCCATTAAAATTTCGGCTTGCAGTAACCAAAAAAAATGAATTGATAACTACGAAAATCGGATATGAAAATCGCGTTCAGGGGCGCTCTCAGTAACGATAAAACTTTATCAATTAATTCAAAAGTTATAATTAATGCTGCAGATAAACGGTCCCGAGATGGCTCTCATAAAAGGCCTTAAGATCTCCAATTATCCAACGAAGAACTCTAATTCTAACATTCTCAAAATCACCTAAACAAATACGAGAGAAAACTGTTGGATGATTGAGCGGAGAGTTAGCTCGATACCGAAAATCTAATGCATAAAAAACTTCAGATTCGAGAAAAGTAATCAAATGGACAATCCAAACGAATGCGAGTAAGCGAGATTAAAAGCTTCACAAAAACCCCTTTTCGCGCCCTCGCCTGATCAAAAATTGCATTAATTAAGGAAAAATCACATGAATTAAAAATTTATAGGATGTTCTAGAACAATGTTTCCGCTAAAGTCAAAATATCATTGGCTCGCCCCCTCACCCGCGAGTCCTAAATTGTATATAAACGAGGACCCTTATCTAGGATGGGCGCATTTCATTTTTAGTTGCTTTTGTCAAAGTTCACTGAGATAAATTTTCCGCAAATAAATGCAAGGTAGCCGAATCGGTCATTATAAACTACTATTACGCGCGCCGCGTAAAGCCGTGAACCTTTTATATTAGACTCTAATTATATTTCTACCGTCTTCCTTTTTGTTATCGCATTGTATTGTAAAATAGAGCGAATAGTAATTATTCAATTGTAATAGTTTTAATTTATTTGTACATATTTTGAGAGTCAATAGTGTATCAAGTGCCAATATAGTAATTCAATTAACTTTCTTTCTTTTTTTCTTGTTTTTTCTTTTCTTTTCTCTTTTACATCTCGTCGCCCGAAATATCTACGAAGTGTTACGTGTCTTGTCTGTGACGTCTCTTAAATGTCAGTGCGTGAGAATGCCAAGTCTAACACAGAACGCGTTTCCGCTCGCGTCCTTAGTGCACCCTTCCATGCCCCCGATGTCCCAAGCGACGACCTATCATCTGCACTGTTATAGCGCGCTATCCGCCGTCCTCCTTCAAATTCCGGCGTTCTTGAACACTCGTCAGTGCTCGAGAGATTCCTTTCCTCAATCACCTAAGAGCTCGAAACAGAGCACTGGCGATTGTCCGAGCGAGGACGGCTCCTCCACAGCTCCCCCATTATTCCACCTCGACACTCAAATCCCTGTCGCTCATCCCAATCTCGACAGCTGCCCCGCAAAGGAAAAGGAGTTTCGGCCTTTTCACCTGTTACCTTGCGATTTCCTCATCTGAGGGCGCAGCAATCTTTTTAACAAATGTTCCAGCGAGTCCGTGAGGCTCCGCGGCACTCTCGCCACGCGAGCACAAAATTCAAAATGACAGCGATGTTCGCAGGAGCAACAGATGTCGCGTGTGCGCCGAGCAAGGCCGCTTATAGGAGCCTGGTGCGCGAATACTACCGCTCCGAGGAATTCGACTCGCGTGTATTCTCGGACCCGTCATGGTTCTACCCGAGTCCAGAGTACCACCCCTGCGCTCAGCCAGAGAGGACCGATGTATTTGCCGCGCATTGTGAAGAAATCGTCTTCCGGCGATCCACATAATTAAGAAATCTTAGAGCAGAATAAAAGGAATCATCTCGTCAGAAATCAGATTTTGCTTTTGCTTTTTTTTTTCTTTTCATTTCATTTCCCCGTTTTTTTATCGTCGTTTTTATTTCGCGTGAACTTTGCAGCTGAATCGAGAGATCAATAGATCCTTGCACCCCGCGTCTCGGAGATCGAAATCCGAACATAACAATCTATATCTTCGTAATCAGCATCCAGAGTCAATTGTCGAGTTATGACTATCGAGTATACAACCAGCCATTCGCGTTTTTCATGTCCTTTAATGTATACAAGAACTTTATTGTCGTCACTCTCTTCCGCACTAATTATAACCATTATAATCAGACGTTTCGCCTATGTTATACGGGATCATCCCGTCTTCCCATTGCAATCTATGGTGATAAGCAACCAGAAAGCGCAATACTTTTCTGACTTTGTCAAGAAATTCCATGACATGGGACATGTAAAAATATAATGAGAGAGAATGGTTCTTTTTCTCAACCGCCATTTCCTTCACGACAAATTTCTTTCCAACGATAAATCCTTGCAGATCCACAAACGTTAGTATATGGTGAACGATTTTCTGAGACTGTGCTTGATCACAAAGGATATTGGATTTTATCTCATATATTAAAAAGAGAATGAGAATATTTTTTGGTGATGATAATTTACGTAATCTTACGTACTACATTTGATGTTAGGCTATATTTACGCGGTTGTATATGATAAGACAAACAATAGGCGATTATATTCGCGGATACATTCTCTTTGAATTCAAATCATACATCCACGGTGCCACTTTTGACGGACTCGTTTTGTCGCGAGCAGTCAATGATTACTAGAGTAAAATCTTTCAAAGAAGAGTTTAATTGGAATGATAGTTCATTTCTTTCACGAAGAATTTGATAATAAGACGTACGGAAACGTAAATACATATCATACAATAGCGGCTCTGCGTTTATCAAAGTCTATAATAGATTCAGATCATCGTACGAATAAAATTCAGAGTTTAATTTTTAAAGTTTCATATTAGTTAATTTACAAATGTCGAAATAAGTTTTACGTGCTGTCATGATATTTTTTTTATTGGTCTGTAGACCAAAAATAACATATCATTTTTCCAGCTGAGTCGCAATCTTGATGGCCCAGGAATGTTTCGTTATATTCGGAATTGAGGGTACTCATACAAATCCCACAAACGGAAACTCATACTCAGATTGTCCGTTCTCTAAAGCACGCAGCATAAATAGTTTATTAACTTCAATGCAAAATGAAGCATTCGCCACTGTACTTTGAATAATTCAAGCGTCGGCTCTATCGTTGGATCTTCTATGTAATTGTTACCGTTGCGCGCTCGTATCAAAATTAATTCAGGACGAGCGTTAATTACCACACGTTTGTAATCCTCGCAAAAGCCCAACAATATACTGAGCACAAAAATTAAAAAGTATGCATCATCTGTTAGGCTTTTCACGGTATCACTAGAGACGATAAATTCAGCTTTATGCAAACTATATGCGATTTCATTAGAAAATATTGCATAATCCTTCATAAGACTAGTTATACCAATGTTTCTGCTATGATCAATCTCCATATCGTTGAATTGTTCATATTGAACTTCATCGAACATGAACGCCACACAATTAGATCCAAGATTTGATTGTTTTTATACATTTTTTTCCTTTAAAGTCAATCTACTTTTGATGTAGAGAATGCTTTCATACGGTAACGTGTATAAATTTTGCTGTTATATGAGTATCCTTATCTCGTCGCTATGTCCAAACGTTGTGTTGACGTACGGATTGTACATGTGAAACTCGAATTTGACGATCGTTAAAGATTGGTACGTCTCCAATATTATCAATATCAATCAGATATCAATCAGATATTTCGCACAACAAAGCCCAATGATTGTAAAAATTTAACGTTCGACGAGTGAATTTCTTTCTATTGGTCACTCGAATGTTTTTGATCGCTGTCGTCCCTCTGGCAAAATTTATATCCCCTGTCTGTTTCGCTTGCTCATTCAGAAAAAACATCTCACGTTATCGTTGTCGTTATCTCTTTATTGCTGTCGCTTTTGTACATACAATCTAACGATGATTTCTTCTCCGCGAAAATCGAGCAATCATCCGTCTTGATTCAACGCGAATCGTCAGATTCCGTAATGAAGGAATCGGAAGGTAAATTATTTGTGTCGATCTTTCTGATATCTTATATCCTGGTGACATGCTCGGTGAAAATTCATGTATCATGCACAGACTTATCATTGCTATATGCGTCCGTGGTCACGTTGCATTCAATGCGAATGATATTTATCGGTGCATCTGATTCGTGCCACTACTACGGATCCAGCACGCGATTCGATGAAAATCTCAACAGCGATCCAATATTGTGAGGTTTGGTGAAATTTACTCGATAAGCACATTTGCTCTCACTCTTCATTGTATTGTTATTGACATGAATAGTCAATGGATACTATTCATCCTCTTTACGAAACGTTTTCTCTCTCACAACATCATTAGAATAAAATTGTAGAATTGTACATCTTAGACACTTGTTTATGTCACATATTTTTATACGACTCTTGGGGAATAACAATTTCTTTGTCATCTTCGTCAAAGTAAAACTTATTATCTAACGAATTTAAATTAGATATCGTATAGTAGATTTCAAAATTCGTCAAGCTCATAATCATCGCTCAAATCTACGGCTGGAAAGTAGCAAGCCACAAGGACTACGCTACTCTGACCGGTGAGCGTAAATGTCAGTGACATGTTTAAATGAATACTGAGTTGAAAGAGTCAATTCTTAAATTGTCAATTCTTAAATTGATCGTCAACTGTCTGTAAAAACAGTCTGTAGACACAGTTGCTTTGATTGTAAAGTTGATAAGATGCGATTATACTCGATTTGCGTTATGTCCAAATATCGCACCAATTCTTTCGATGGTCGAAGATTATTATCAAAATAAACAGCATGATCTCCCCGCTTCGCGTATGCCATCCAATGAGTAGTCAGTCCGTCAGCAATATTTAAATTTACTGCTCTCGTTTCGATACACTTCCTCTATTGATAAGGTAGTACACATAAAAATACCTCTAAAATATGGAATAATTTTGCAATTGTTGCAGTTGTACATTGGTTGTTACATCCTTCATTTTTGGCAACTTATCTATTTAATGTTTTTTTTTAATATTTTTTATTTTTTTCGTTGTGACTCCTCATCCACGCTTGTATGGAGCGAGATAAACTCCATGACGCAGTTATGACGTTTCAGTTCTTCCAACTGACATTGCGCTTTATTATCATTTATAGCTTTTGCGACTCCTGCCAAGCCGCTGACCAATGAGCCGAAGACTCCCAACTACGGTAGAATAGATAAGATACTTCTGCCTTCTGTTACCAGTAATACTCGTTTTTTCGTCGTTTTCATGTCCATACTAATTTTCGTTTTGGCTTTTATGGCCGCCCAAACAGCTGTAGCAGCAGCTCTCTCAAGCATCATTGAGACACCTCGTATAATCATTGAACGTTATAAATCTCGCTACAACGTTACTCTTGATGCCTTCTTAATATCGTTTTTTGCGAATCGACGCGCAAGGCATACATTTTCGCTCTAAGTCTGACGAATTCGGTTATGATCACACCATTGTTTTATCTTTCATTAAACCGGGAACTTTTTTATTTCTTAGTGAAATGTCATAAGCATTGTCGATCGTGTAATCACTCATATCAAATATAATATATCTGATATCACGTTTCATAACAACATAGACATCGTAATAAATGAGGTTGTCCATGTCGGTATACATAATTTTACATTTTTCATGAAAGAGCGATAATATGTTCTAGTGGTGAAATTCGTATAACATGTTTTAGATATGTTGAGGACATATAATACATACCTACGTATGTCGGTTTGTCGACCTTAACCTTGAGTTTCTATCGCGATCAGATTCTTGGAAAAAACGCTTCTACTGTGAAAGTTTGATTTCGCGATAATTGTCTTTACATCGATCTCCCGTCCCAATACATTACGAATTGTACATTAATATGGTTACGCATATTCTCCATGGTCTTACTGAAACCTGCATTGTTCATTAATTTGAATAAATTTTTCTTGAACTCATTCTTTGCTAAAATTCTAAAAGTTATATTGAGCTCGATGCACTTGCGAAGACATGAAGATTGCACGAATTGCATATACGATGGATCTTTGTAATAATGGAGACCGTGAGTACATTGTTGCAGATTGCGGTAATGTATGACGTTGCATTTTATCATACATTGTCGTGAGAAGTTTCTCCTCTTGCCGGGTGGTTTCTCGTCCGTTGAACAAAACGGTAGATCAGAATCATGGAGATATCGCGACTCCATCTCGAGAACGTAACTCGGCAGTGAATCTGTAATGATCGTAACGTCAAAATTGTCTACATCGTCGACTCAACGAAAATTGATATACAGCAATAGTTGATATCAATTGCTCAACCATATAGGTGGTTGATGTGATAGTATGTCAGATACGTCGGTGGTTTCGATGGATCGTACGACTGCATGTACTTGTTGGCCTGCGCATACTTGTTTGAACATTGACTCAGACCACCATGTTCGATGAATAGAATCATGCCAACGTCGGTAAAAAGTTCGAAATTGACGCGAGTATGTTTCAACATCGCGTCCCACGTAAAATCGGTAATATAATAATATGCGGGATCGAGTCCATAACTGGTGATGCAATTATTCCGAAAATTCTCAAATATATCGGCCAACAACAATACATCTGTTTTTAAGTACAAGTCGCTTTGTTGATCGAGAGTTCGAATGGAGAATCGTTGCTACATGGCATGCGTGTAATCACTCTCGGATACAACGTTGCCCACATTAATGAACTATAAAACGATTCGTACGGAGGTAAACATGTATCCTTCAATTTTTCGATGTAATTAACGTACTTGTATGAAAATATACCTTTACTTGTATGAAAATATACCTTTGTAAAAAGATCGAAATCTTCCGCGCTGAGATTAAAAAATTCTGATCACGTAATTTTCAATTTATCGAGACATGACGTCAATTTCTCTAAACTTGATGTGAGAAATTTAAATGAATAAAATATATTTTTACACAAATTTTCTTTTGATCATTTTTAATGCTATCGACATATT